GGTAACCAGAAAATTACCTATTCTTTCCTTCTCAAAGGCTAACAGAATATCTTTCAAAATTAGCCACACTCTCTGGTAGAGAATGCATTTCAAAGCAAAACAGACTACAATGAGAGTAATGTATATATCCTGAAGTGGTATGTAAGTAAGCAGAGAACCCCTTTATTTTATGAAAAGAAGAATATTGCAATTAGTGGGGTTAGGGAAAGAAGAGAACTTCTGAGAGAATAAAGACAAAGAAGCGAAGGGGCAGAGTGAATTCCAAGCATGGATCCCTTCAGAAAGACAGAGATGAAGATGGATAAAGTGATTGATGTGACCTTGGGGGTCACTTGTGCATGTGTCAGAGGTCACATGTCTAGTCTACACAGTCCTTGTACAGTGATAAAGTGCCCTACCCTGCACCCTCCCCGTAAAACATCTCACTGTATTGGTGGACTGTGGACCTCGACATCAGCAATAACTCCCCTCTTGTGAGCTGTGTGACCTTGAAGTAGGTTGCTCAGTTCTTTAGCTTTTCCTTGACCCAAAGACTGAAGGTGGCAAGTTATTAGTTTTGAATTGATGTGGTGCTGATAAGCTGCTTAGCACACTGCCACACATCCAGAAAGACGTGACTATCAGAGAGCCGTGCAGCACTTAGTTGTAGAGGGCGAGAGCTGTGTCTTGTTCAGCTTCCTGCCTTTGTCTCCCAGCTGCTCGTCCAGCAAATGACACTGCCTGCTCACATCCGGGTCACTGTATTAGACATGCAGAGGCAGTTTGGGGCATCCCAGTCATGACCAGAGACAGAAGGAAGTGCCACAGAAAGCAAGGATGGCAAGATGACCTCAGAGACGACATCCCAGGTTTACCTTCACCTCTGAGGTTTTCCCCTCCCCGCCTCCAACTTTGATTATAAAAATTACATCCGTCGCCAAAGAACTGAAAGGAGATCTGATATAGAAAAAGGAATCACTCATGCCCAGTCTTCCTTAGAGCGAACTTGGCACAGGTAGTTTCAGAGGTACTTACAGTAGTGTCACAGAAACAGAAAACTAAGGCTATTGTTGTTGTTCTGCTATTTATAACAAGGTCGTGCTATATTGCCTACACTGGCCTTGAACTCCTGACTCGTAAAGCCTTCTGCTGTGTCCCCTGAGTAGCAATGACCATAAAGAGCCACCTCGGTGTGTAACCCAAAGTATTATGCTCTTTTAGACACTAGCTGTATTTTCCTTCCATTGTGTTGACGATCCTCCTACAGTGTGGTAGCAGGCATGCTGTGGTATGTACAGTTAAAAGTAAAAAAGGCAGCACACAAATTGGAATGAATGCCGTAGGGAACTAATGTAATGCTTTATCAATAAGGGAGGTCTTCATTAAGGAAAAAAAAGGTAATTCAGTTATTCAGTTTGGAAGGTGTTTACTTCAAGCCAGACACAACACAGCAGAGGCCGCTGCATCCAAGCTGCAGCAGCCAGTAGAAACATGCTGCCTTGTGCTGAAGGCTACTTTCCACTACCCTTGGGAGAAAAAGAGAAACTGCCTTCTCTCTCCTCCAGTACTGTTACCGTGGGAAGTTAGGATATCAAGTGGGAGCCAGGCAGCCCTGGGTGTGAGCAGGCTTTGTACTGAGTGGCTGGGTGTGTCTCTCTAAGACCTTTGTACTTCTGCCTCACAAAACATGTGTAAAGCAGAAGAGAACACCTCTCCCAGTGCTGTTGAAGCCAAGACATAATGTATTATGCATCCAAGTGTGGTGTGTACTTGTTCATGTGGATGGTACATACAGGCACGCACACCTAGAGATGAGTGTGTATAGGTGGAGGCCAGAGGTTGACACTGGATGTCTTCCTCAATTGAATGCCTGCTTATTTTTGAGGCAGGGTTTCTCACTGAACCTGGAGCTCACTGACTTGACTAGGTTGGCTGACTGGTGAGCTCCAGATATATAGATAACACACTGATTGCCCGAGTTCTTCTGTGAATACTAGGGATCTAGACTCAGGCCCTCATGTCAGCAGCTTACCAACTGAGATATTTTCCCAACCACAACCAGATTTCCTTTATTTTCCACTAAATAATTTTGCCTGTCTTTAAGAAAAAAGAAAAGGAAAGGAAAGAAAAAGAAAAAACAAACACATTGCCAAATGTGATGGCACAAACCTTTAATCCCAGCTCTTGAGAGGCAGAGGTAGGAGGATGCCTGTGTTTTCAGCCTGGTCTACCAAGTGAGTTCCAGGACAGCCAGGGATGTTAAACAGAGAAACCCTGTCTTGAAAAACCAAAAAGGAGGAAGAAGAGGAGGAAGAGAAGGAGGTGGAGGAGGAGAGGAAGAAGAAACAAACACAAAATCCCTTTTCTGAATAAAGAAATTGGTGAAAATATGATGAAAAGACTTGGGATGCTGTGACTGGGTTATAATTAATTTGAGGTTAATGGTGCAATTAGAAGATTGGGTTTGGGCTTTTGAAAGTGCTGAGCAATTTGAACTCAATGAAATAACCTATCACTTCAGGTTGGTAATGGATATTTTCTTTTTTAAATCTTAATCTTTCCACTTTTAACCAAGGAACTATAAATCTTAATTTTTAGAACAGAGACCAATTCCCTGCCTGGAGTCCATGACTGTGATAATAGGAATCAGTGATCTATTTAATAGTTGAAAAACACCAACAGGTTTAACATTTACCAGCAATGAGGCTGCACAGATTAATTAAAATGTCACACTCCTTTGCTTTTAGCAGGCACTTTATGACACTATTGCAGTACCTGATTATCAAACCAAATGAGCTACTAATGGCATGAAAGTTACTGAAGAAATACAATTTTAAAATCTGGGGCTCAGTTGGGCGGCGGTGGTGCACGCCTTTAGTCCCAGCACTCGGGAGACAGAGGCAGGCAGTTGTCTGTGAATTTGAAGTCAACCTGGTCTACAAAGTGAGTTCCAGGATAGGCTCAAAAGCTACAGAGAAACTCTATCTTGAAAAAAAAAATCTGGGGCTCATGTTAATGGAGGCATTATAATGAGTGATTTCTTAATCCTAAAAAAAATGTTTATACACAAGTTCCACTGATAATTGTGATTAAAATAAAAGAAAAATAGCTAGCTAATCCAACACTATACTGCAGAAATAGTTTATGAAATTTCTCACAAATTTCAAAACTAGAATGCATTATTTTAGAACCAAGATTTGCAAACACAGTTGAATCTCAAAGATTCTTACCATTAGCAGGTAAAGATACTTGCAACCAAGCCTGACAACCTGAACTTGAACCATGGGACCTATATGGTAGAAAGACAGAATGGACTTCTGCAGGTTTTCCTCTGACTCCATACACGTGCTGTGACATATGTATGCACATTTATGTGTATGCACGTGTATACATACATATGCACAAAATGAAGGAAGGAAAGAAAATGTAATTACTTTTTTTAAATTCCCCAATTTAAAAACAGACTAACATATTGGATTAAAAATCAAGAGCCAGGCTAGGTGGTGGTGGCCCATGTCTTTAATCCCAGCACACAGCACTTAGGAGGCAGAGGCAGGTGGATCAAGGCCAGCAGCCTGGTCTACAGAGTGAGTTCCAGGACAGTCTCCAAAACAATACAGCGAAACCCTGTTGAGAGAGAGAGAGAGAGAGAGAGAGAGAGAGAGAGAGAGAGAGAGAGAGAGAGAGAGAGAGAAGGATCCTGTCTTGAAAAGAAAAAAGAAAAGGAAAGAAAGAAAAAATCCTCCAAGAGGTCATTTCAATTCTAAACACCTATGTACTAAAAGTAAGGGCACCTAACGGTTCACAAGTAAAGGAAGCAATACTACAGCTAAAGTCACATATTAGCCCTCACACAGTCGTAGAGGAAGATATAATTACATAAAAGACCACTTGGACAGTTACTCTATTAATGGGGGAGGGGTGCTGAGAAGGGATGTATGTCAATTTGTCTCAGTATGTATGTGCACATGTACATGTGAGTGCATGTAGAGTTCAGAGGTCAACATCAAGTGTTTTCCTCAAATTCCACCTTATTTTTTGAGGCAGGATCTCTCACTTATCCGAAGCTCACCAATCCGGCTGTGCTGGCCAACCAGTAGCTGCAGAAATCCTCCTGTCTCCACCTCCCCAGTGCTGGAATTACAGGTGTACTGCACCACAGCTGGCTTTTTACACAATGCCAGAGGTCACAGCTCAGATTTTCATGCTTGTATGGCAAATATCTCCCAAACAAACAATCTCCCCAGAATGTGCTATCTTTTAAGAGCTATTGCCCGTACGTGTTATGGTATCTAGGATGTCGAGGTTCACATAGAATTGCATTTGACTGTGGTTTTAATTAGAAATTTCAATGGATATTAAAAAGATACAACACTCAATGTTTAGTTTCTTTTTTATCATGTGTTGCTATGCCGAAGGTGTGTCTCATATGAAATGTTCTCATAATGCCCTCTTTTTTTTTTTTTTTTTTTTGGTTTTTGGTTTTTCAAGACAGGGTTTCTCTGTATTGTTTTGGACGCTGTCCTGGAACTCAATCGGTAGACCAGGTTGGCCTCGAACTCACAGAGATCTGCCTGCCTCTGCCTCCCGAGTGCTGGGAATAAAGACGTGTGCCACCAACACCCAGTCCTCATTACCCTCTTTAACCTCTGTCTTTTATATTGCATTACTGTAGAAGCATAAAATACCAGTACATGACTTTTGCTTCCCAGAGTTTCATATATGTACATGTATTTTAAAATTGAGGATGGAACCTAGAGTTTTACACATGTTAAGTCAAGTCTCCTACCAATGAGCCGTACCCACAGTCCTGCTTTAACCTTCTTTTTCTAAGAAACTAAGTTTCCTAAGCTGGCCATGTAGCCCTGGGAAGGCTTGAACTTGTGATTCTCTTGTCTTGGCCTCTACAGTAAATGAGACTACACTATGTACTATAAGTTATTTTATATTTGCTGATAAATGTATTGGTAACTTATTTTGACAAAGTTGTGGGAAATAATATTCAATATGTGTTTATACAGAATTATGAAATTTCACGTGGCAAAACGGAAGTTTAAGGAAACACTGCGCCCGTATGATGTGAAAGATGTCATTGAACAATATTCTGCTGGTCATCTGGACATGCTGTGTAGAATTAAAAGCCTTCAAACACGGTAAGCAATGGGTATGGAAACTGTCTGGGGTTTCCTACAATACTGAAACCTCAATTCTGTATTTCTGATTCAGTTTTGGTCGGCAACTGGGAGGTTACTTTGTAACATACATTGTATTCTTTTCATGTGTAAATCAGACATTAACAGCCTCCACGTATCTCAGGGCCTTCTGGAAAAGGAGTGAATGTCATAGGGTTGACATGACCACTGACGCGTCAATGTCGTTTGTAACATGTAGTAACCTTGGCACCGGGTACTCAGTAAATGTTAGTGATGACCTAGCAACGTAGCTCACGAGAACACTTTACAAAAGACAATAGCTTTCTCACCGTTTATCACCCACATATCAGGTATAAAACAAACCCTCACTGACTCTTTTCTATCGGTGTAAAATAATCACAATTATGATTTCATGGTTCTTAATGGCTGAATTCGGAACTGACTGGTCCACAGGAGAAACGAGTCACTTTGCTTGCGCATTTCTCCTCTAGCAATTCCTTCGTTATTGATCTCATCACGGGCCAGAAGGATGAAAAGAATTTATCTTATGTAATCTTGTGTTAAGAAAGCCATCAGGGGTGAGAGAGGTGACTCGGCAGTCACGAGCACTTGATGCTCTTCCAGGGTTCCTGAATTCAGATCCCAGAACCCATGTTAGTTGGCTTTACAACTGCCTGTCACTCAAGCTCCAGGGACCGTGACACACCACCCCCCTAAAAGTACCTGCACGCATGTGGCAGATACCCAGACATATACACACAAATAAACAAATAGATAACACAAATGACTCTTTTCTAAGAAGAAAGACAGTCAGGTCAATTGGCACACGTGTCACCTTGTTTCACCTTCCACACATTTGTCACTTGCCTTTCTTTCCTTTTTGGAGCGTTTCACTTTTGCCTAGTGCAGCAGCTCCCAACCTCTGAGTCTCCACCCCTTTGAGGGTCAATGACCCTTGCACTGGGGTCACCTAAGACCACTGGGAATGTCAGATGTTTGCATTGCAACTCATAAAAGTAGCAAGGTTACAATTTTGATGGGGCAACAAAAATAATCTTGCGGTTGGGGGTCACCACAACATGAAGAACCGTATCAAGAGGTCGCAGCATAGGGAGGTTGGGTCACAGCACTGGCCTAGTGTATGTTTACTGCCGATAACCAGGCACTGGCCTAGTGTATGTTTACTGCCGATAACAGGCACTGGCCTAGTGTAGTCTGTATGTTTACTGCCGATAACCAGGTATCTTCCTTGTCTGGCAGTGTTGATCAAATCCTTGGAAAGGGGCAAATCACGTCAGATAAAAAGAGCCGAGAGAAAATAACAGCAGAACATGAGACGACGGATGACGTCAGCATGCTCGGCCGGGTTGTCAAGGTTGAAAAGCAGGTATCGTTCAATCATACAAGTTAACGCTCATCAAAACTGAGTATATGCAACTTAAGCGCTAAAATTAATCTTTTCAAGTCTTGTTTTAAGGATACGAATGTTTTGTCTGCTTGTATATCTGTACACCACTTGTAGGCTTGGTGCCTAAAGAAGCCAGAAGAGGCTGTTGGGTCTCCTGGAACTGAGTGGTATGAATGAATAGTTGTGGGCTGTCTGTTGTGTAGATGCTGGGAGTCAAGATCCTCTGAGAAAACAAGACCTCTTAACTTACCATATCTATCCAGCCCCTAAACCTAACCTTTTTTGTTTGTTTGTTTGTTTGTTTTTGTTTTTTGAGACATAATCTCCCTACAGGGCTCTGGCTGTCCTGGAATTCAATATGTGGACCAGGCTGACCTTGAAATCACAGAGACCTGCCTGCCTCTGCCTCCCAAGCACTGGGATTAAAAATGGGCACCACCATGTCTGGCCACCTAAAGTTAATCCTAGTGATCAGCCTATGTTAAAGGAATGAAGTGGAGAGTGGATGAAATGAAAGTGCCCTTATGTGTAGACAATGTCCTTTAAAACACTTTTGGATTTCCTTTGAAGAAAATTTTTTTCTTATCCGTTAATGCTTAACCTGGAACCAACTGTAAGTTTCAATAGTAGGATAGCAAAAATCTGTTTTTCAGGTGTGTTTTTGTTCAATTTCTTTATGTTTCCTTTAGTTTCCTTCATTTAAAATAAGATTTTAAAACCTCACCATAGTTGTGGCAAACACTGATTGTTAACCCTGAGACTGTGTCTTCTCAAAGAGTGTTCCCAATGGAATTGTAAATATTTATTTGAAAGCATTTATTTATTTATTTATTTATTTATTTATTTATTTATTTATTTGTGGGGTTTGGGGATGAGGTCTCACTATGTAGCTCTGGTTGAAACTCAGTATGTAGACCAGGCTGACCTTGAACTCACAGAGATTCGCCTGCCTTTGCCTCCCAAGTGCTGGGATTAAAGGCGCGTGCCATCACCACCCTGCTAGGCCTAGAACTCTTAGAGATCCACCTGCCTCTGCCTACTAAGTGATGAAATTAGGGGCCATGTACAACCATGCCTGTCTTTTAATTTAAATTTCTTAGACTGATCCTTAAATTTCTTAATTCCATTACAGAATACATTCTTACTAAAATTCACTAGCATTCCAGAAAGGAAATCAACCAGTTTAGCTAAGAAAAACATGCTGATTGAAAATGCATTTTACACAGGGCGTTGGTGGCACACGCCTTTAATCCCATCACTGGAGAGGCAGAGGCAGGTGGATCTCCATGAGTTCCCGACCAGCCTGGTCTACAAAAGCGAGTTCCAGGACAGCCTCCAAAGTCACAGAGAAACCCTGTCTCGAAAATCCAAGAAAAAAAAAATGCATTTTGATGGTGCTTGTATGATCAAAAAGAAAAACGCTAAAAGTTTTGAAGAGTAGAGTAAGAGTGCAATGAGGGTCACAAATGCGAAAGTGACCCTCTCTCCCTCTCCTCCTCTAGCGCTGTCACCACCAGTGTGACACTCGGTGACAGTCAGAACTGCAGTTGACCTTCATAGCATTTTTTTTTTACTTTGCCAATAAAACCTTATTTTACCCTTTGCATCCCAAGAGGAAAGCCAGTTCCTCCTAAGAGAGTGTCCTTGTGCGTAACCATTTCCTCCATTTTCAGGTCCAGTCCATCGAATCCAAGCTGGACTGTCTGCTGGACATCTACCAACAGGTCCTTCGCAAAGGCTCCGCCTCGGCGCTCACTTTGGCGTCATTCCAGATCCCGCCTTTCGAATATGAACAGACATCTGACTATCAAAGCCCTGTGGACAGCAAAGACCTGTCCAGTTCTGCACAGAACAGCGGCTGCCTAACAAGGTCAGCCAGCGCCAACATCTCAAGAGGCCTGCAGTTCATTTTAACGCCAAATGAGTTCAGTGCTCAGACTTTCTACGCGCTTAGCCCGACTATGCACAGCCAAGCAACACAGGTGCCAATGAGTCAAAACGATGGCTCCTCCATGGCGGCCACCAATAACCTTGCAAACCAAATAAGCGCAGCACCCAAGCCAGCAGCCCCAACAACTTTACAGATCCCACCCCCTCTCCCAGCCATCAAACACCTATCCAGACCAGAGACTCTGCACCCAAACCCCACGGGCTTACAAGAAAGTACTTCTGACGTCACCACCTGCCTTGTTGCCTCCAAGGAAAACGTTCAGTTTGCACAGTCAAACCTGACCAAGGATCGGTCCCTGAGGAAAAGTTTTGACATGGGAGGAGAAACTCTGTTGTCCGTCCGCCCCATGGTACCCAAGGATCTGGGCAAATCTTTGTCTGTTCAAAACCTGATCAGGTCGACAGAGGAACTGAACCTGCAGTTTTCAGGCAGTGAGTCGAGTGGGTCCAGAGGCAGCCAAGATTTCTACCCCAAGTGGAGAGAATCCAAATTGTTTATAACTGATGAAGAACTGGGTGCCGAGGAGGCAGAAACAGATACTTTTGATGTCACCCCACAGCCCGTAGGGGAAGCTGTTTTTACATCGGACTCTCTAAGGACTGGAAGGTCGCGGTCATCTCAGAACATTTGTAAGACAGGAGACAGTACAGAAGCCCTCAGTTTGCCTCATGTCAAACTGAACTAAGTTCTTTGTTTTCTTTCTAGGTATAGCTGTTCTTTTAGCCATACATATCACTGCATGAACTATTCTGAAAGCCCTTCTAAAAAGTCGAAATCGCAAGAATCGGGAAGAACATGAACGGCAACTTATAAGCCCGTTATCTTTTAATTGCATGAAAATGCATGTTTAGGGATGGCAGAAATTCCAAGGTGCATCGACATTAACCCATGCATTTAGTAATGTACCTTGAGTCTAAAATCCCAAGCAAACAGTTGCTGCTGATGCTATGGGGTGTGCGAAGATGTTGGGAGTAGTTCAATTGCAAGAGTTGATGCTGTATTTTGAAACTGTGAGAGTAAACGCCTTCAAAATTTCAGGCATTTCTGCTTTTATGACTAGATACAAAGTACATTTTCAAAATTAGACCATAAGGTATGTTTAGACGCAATGGCTAGCAACAGCTGCTAATAACACAAGTAAAGCAGAATTTGGGATATAACAGAAATGGCTGCTTATTTCAAGATATCTTTGCCAACCCAATCCTTCTCAGTCATGTTATTAATGTAATTTGAATGTCAATCTGTGTGCTTTCAGTGACTTAGCGCTGTGGCAAGCAACTTTGCACATCATTGTCATGTTGTCCTTTATGCTGAGAATGTTTTCTAATTAGAAAATGGGCAGATACTGCTATTCAGGGCCGGTGGGGCAGGAGACTCGATCCCTTGACATCATCAGCTTCAGGAGAATAGTCTCTGATGGAGGGGTCAACTCTGTAAATGGTCAAAAATCTTTACAAGCATACGAGCTACTGATGGGTTTACAGCCTGTGCCGCTGGGCTGGTCTCTCTGTGAGAACACGGTTTGCCCATCCTGCCCACTCAAATGGCCACTGTGACCAGCTGTTCCCATTTAGTGGGCATGCAGGTAGGGCCCAGGGAAGAAGACTGAGGAAGACTGGAAAAGATGACACAAGCATTACCACCAAGTGGGTGACATTAAAGGAAATGGCTGCCCTCCCCCAAAGGACAGTGAGGAGAGAAGCCAAAATGAAATAACTAGATTTTTTTTTAGAAAATAAATGTCGCTAGGAAGTTCAACTACCTAAACATCCCTTATTCTTGTATAGCAGAGAATTTTGCAAGCTATTTATTTTTAATAAGCCCTGAATGTCTTTTTGCTATTATGTAGTACATTTTGCACATGGAAGACTAAAGCTAAACTTCCTTTACTTTTATACTATAGTGAACATTTTTCTATTCTTCCCAACAATATTATCCCAAATGTGAAATTATCGGCTCAGTTTCTAGGTCACGAACATTTATAATCACAAACCAGATAGTATTGGCTGTGTCTGCAGGTCAAAACCCCTTAGCAATATATTGTGACAGCAAAGAAACAACATGTATTTCTCAAAATGCAAGCAATATCGGCTGCTTATTAGAATTCAGCCAAGCACCTGTAATCACAGCACTGGCAGACTGAGACCGGCGATAGTGAGTTCAAAGCTACCCTGGATTATACAGCAAGAGAGTGACTCAGAAACAGAGAGAACTAAATATCTTGGACCATCAGGTATTGACCAGTAACATTCAAATAGGCTTAGAGCGACTAGCATGTGTGCATACCTGGAATCCCACTATTTGAGAGGTTGAGGCAGGAGGTTCAGGAATTCAAAGCCAGCCTTGGCTGTGTGAAGCCTAGTCTCAAAAAAGAAAAATCAAAAAAATAAAAAATAAAAAGGAGGGAAGGAAGGAAAGAAATAAAGATCTGAGAGAAGTTGGTAGACAAGAATGACTGAAGAATTCGTGGAGGAAGACATTTTTTCTTAACCATTAGTACTGGCCAGGGAGTAGGGGGCGGCGCTTTTTTCAGCATCCAGGCCAAATGAGCAGGATCTAGGGATATCAGGAGATTGCTCAAAGGAAGAAGAACTCCAAATCCACCAGCCCCTCCCAAGCCTTTCCCCCAGCAGAAAGCTCTTGTCAATGAGTTGCCCTTACTTCTCTTTCCCTTAACTATTTGGTGATTCCTCACCACAATTTCCTTTAGAACCTCACCAGGCCCCAGCCAGCTGTCACCCTCAAACGAACCAAGTCTCTCTTCCTCAAATGCGCTTCCCAGCCTCACTTCTGGCAAACGGTGAGATGTTTAAAAGTCTTCCTTATTTTCACCCCTCTAGGATGCATGCAGGGTGTGGTGGTCCACACCTGTAACCCCAGGGCTTGAGAAGCAGAGGCAGGTAGAGCTTTGTAAATTCAAGGCCAGCTTATCTATAAAGTATGTTCCAGGCCAGGCAGGGCTACACAGAGAGACTCTATTGAAAGAAAGGAAGGAAGAAAGGAAGGAAGGAAGAAAGAAAGAAGAAAAGAAAAAAAACTTGCTTGGAATCTGATGCAGTCTCCTGGAGAATAGCATTCAGGATCCTTTGGCGGAAGAAAACACTTACAAAATCTGAGTTTTACACTCTATTGAAAAATGTCAGGTCTTTAAAGCTGTTCTTTTCATTTTCCAAACAGAATGCTAGTCAATTACTAATGTGATTTTTTTCATTTACCCGTGTCTCCAACTAACCTGAAGTACCCATATGTGTACAAAAAAATACATCCCTCCATTGGGCAAGAGCCAGAAATACCTGCCTGGCACTCAACAAGGTTTCCTGCAAGCAATGGCTGAGGAAGAGGCAGGAGTTGACAGCTTCCAGACAGCACTGATACTGTCTCAGGTTGAACCCCACTGGCAGCAAGAATCATGAATGTATTGGGGACCCCTTCTTAGGCATCCTCGGGGCTCAAACACAGTATAGTTCATCTAACGTAGCTGAAGACTGAAGAATTAGAGACAAAGCCAAAACACATCACTGAAGTCTTAAGCAAAATGTGGAAAACTACATTGTGAAAAAAAAAAAAAAAACGATTGTACATTGAAGCCATGACCATTTTGTGTCTATTTTATTCTAGCACAAAAACTCTTGGACGTTGCAAGACGGGTTTCTTGGCATGTAAACTTCAGGGTTATACCTATTATGCCATTCTCTGGGGAAATGGAGGAGGGGATCTCCCATTTACACTTAGCAGAGGCCTACTGCTCCACCCCAAAGGGTGTCTGGGAGCACAGTTCAGCTGAGCGCACTAGTAGCCTTGTGTTTTCTCAGCTCAAGCCCATCTGCCTTCTGCAATTCACAGGGTTGATCAAGCTAAGATGTACAGCAGACATCCCTTGTAGGAGGTTGACTAAAAACTGTTGCCATGTCTAATCTAAGTGTTTGCTTTTTGTTCAACCAAATTCGTATCTGTGGATGTCAAGGTCATTTAAATTAAGATGCTTTACTGGGTTTTCTGATGCTCTGATGATTTCTTGTTCTTAGGTGCCTTTCTGACCTCTTGTTGGCACAGTTTTGTCTGGAAGGTTCTTAATCTGAAAGTCAAACAAGTCTAATAGAGGAGTCGAGGCACAAACTAACTAGATATCATAACCATTTCCAGATTGAAACCATAAATGATGAAACCCAGACAAACAGATCATTCAATCATATCAAGGAAATATCATAAATGCTAATTCTCCAGAACCTGATTTTTTTTGCCTTAAATGACATGGTTGTGTTTTGTAAGAGAATTTAATTTAATATAATTATGTGCATTTAAGTGAGTGGTTCTAAAGTCATGTAGGAAAACAACACAATTGTCTGTTTCCTGAAAACAACTAAATCAGAAATACCATACCCATTTCAAGCTATCATTAAAATGTAATTTCCTTTGCTCTCTTTTACTGAGATATTTGTTTTAAACTAAAACATTAAAAAGATGTCTATAAACAGCGAGTGTGATTGTTTTTATCCAGAACTGACCAACCAAACCATACACAGATTTTATAGTGACGTATATTTTGATGCTGGTAAAGAAAGTTTAGCATTTGGGAATATAGATTTTCATCTTCTCAAGGATATGGTAAGAAAAACTTCTTTTTGATGTCTGAGAATTCAACTCAGGTCTCTGACCATGCCATCCCCTTGTCAAGAAGAACATAATTAGATATGGATCATAACTCAGACATCAGTCCATGTGGGTGTTATGTTAGCTACAAATTGAGTAGCCCCTATCTCCACTTCCTGGGAATAGAAATGTTTTTAGGTTGCAGATTGATGTTGATTTTAGAATATTGGAAAATACAGGGATGGAGAGACGACTGGGCTCACAACCAAAAATATGAAAGTATTTGAAAATACATAATATACTATAGGGATGGAATCCAAATCTAAACACAAAATTCACTGTATCACATACATTCAAATCTAAATTCTTACAAATGCTAGGCCAGTACTGAGCCATGGAGCTCACCCCAGACATTTATATACTATTTTTAATAATTTGTACCATAGAAGAAAGCTTCATGGAATGGAATTTCCTATTCTTGGTGTTCATGTCAGCACTCAAAAACCTCTGAGAGTCTTTGGGGAACTGGTCTTAGAGACACCCAGCCAGTATAACAAAACAGTATAACTAACAACACAAGTGATGAGAAATAAAGACCAGGTAGATATCCAGTGAAGATCACACGGGAGCATGCACCCAGCTCTGCCTCTTCAGGAATGTCTCTACCTCAAAGGGACGGTGTCCTTTGTCCCATGAGAAACTCCATCATAGGGACTGAAAAACATGGCTCAGCAGTTGAGAGTGATCACTGCTCTCTGAAAGGACCCAGGATCATTTCCCAACACCCACCACTGATCTTCTCACAACCTCCTCCTGCAACTCTAACTCCAGAGGATAGGACTCATTCCTCCAGCCAACAAGAGCGCAAAACACATTTGGCACACAAACTCAAAGAGAGTGTGCATGCATGAAAATATAACAACAAATAAATCTTTTTAAAATTTCTTTTATGTGCACTGATGTTTTGCCTGCATGTATATCTGTATGAGGGTATCAGGTATCCTAGAACTAGAATTACAGATAGTCGTGAGCTGCCATGTGGGTGCTGAAAATTGAACCTGGGTCCTCTGTAAGCACAGCCAGTGCTCTTGCCTGCTGAGCTATCTCTCCACAAATAAATCTTTTTTCCCTCCTTTTTTGAAATTTAAGTTAGAAACAAGCTTGTTTCACATGTCAATCACAGCCCCCTCTCCCTCCCCTCCTCCCCATCAGACACCCCCCAGTTCCCCACCCAATCTCAACTCCGATCCCCAGGTAGAGTGAGGCCCTCCATGGTGGATCTCCAGAGTCTGTCATGTCATCCAGGGTAGGGTCTAGGCCCTCCCCTAAGAGTCCTGGCTGAGAGAGCATTCCTCATTGTGGGATGGGCACTCAAAGTCAATTTGTACACCAGGGATAAATACTACCCAAGGCCCCATAGATTACCTAGGCCTCCTCACTGACACCCACATTCAGAGGGTCTGGGTCAGTTCCATGTTTTCCACACATCCATCAATCTGGAGTCCAAGAGCTCCCCCTTGTTTAGGTCAACTGTTTCTGTGGGTTAAACCAGTCCAGTCTTAACTCATTTGCCCATCAGTTCTCTCTTTCTGACACTGGATTCCAGGAGTTCAGTTCAGTGTTTATCTGTGGGTATCTGCCTCTGCTTTCATCAGTCGCAGAATGAAGGTTCTGTTTCCCAGACTCTCTGGCAGTTGGATTGTATGCTGGTACTCCCCTGATTCATGTCTAAAATCCATATATGAGAGAGTACATGCCATGTTTCTCTTTTTGTGACTGGGTTACCTCACTCAGGATGGTTTCTTCTAGTGCCATCAATTGCCTGCAAATTTCAAGATTCCATTGTTGGTTTTTTGGAAGGAAGTGGCGATAGAGTGGGAGGCTGGGGGGAGATCGTGGGTGGGGTGGTTGAGGAGGGGAGGGAGAGGCAACTGGGATTGACATGTGAAGCAAGCTATTTAAAATTAAAATAAAATTAAAAAATTTAAAAAGTATAAATAAATGTGGTGATATATTTTGTTTATGCTTTAACAATTAAAACTTGCCTGAAGATCAGAGTGTGGAGTTAGCAACTACTTAGCCATAGACGCCAGGCAGTGGTGGCATACACCTTTAATCCCAGCACCCTGGGTTACACTGAGATTGATCTGGTATAAAAGAGAAACAGAGCCAGGTGGTGGTCGTCGTTCACACCTTTAACCCCAGTACTTGGGAGTCACATGCCTTTAATGCCAGCAGTAAGGAGGTGGAGACAGGAGTGATATGTCTAGACAATCTAGTGTGGCCCAGGGTTGCCTTGAACTCACAGAGATGCACCTGTCCCTGCCTCCTGAGTGCTGGCATTATAGGTGTGTGCCACCACTACCTGGTGTCTATGATTAACTAGTGTGGCTAACTCCACACTAGGGAGGCAGAGACAAGAAGATATCTGTGATTTTGAGGCTATCCTGGTCTACAAAGCAAGTTCCAGGCCAGCTAAAGCTATACAATAAGAACATACCAAGAAAAAGGAGGAGGAGGAGGAAGGAAGGAGGAAGAGGAGGAAGAGGAGGAGGAGGAGGAAGGAAGGAGGAAGAGGAGGAGGAAGAAGAAGAAGAAGAAGAAGAAGAAGAAGAAGAAGAAGAAGAAGAAGAAGAAGAAGAAGAAGAAGAAGAAGAAGAAGAAGAAACAAGAAATGGCTACTCTTGCAGAGGATCCAGGTTCAATTCCCAGCACCCACATGAGGGTTTACAACCATCTATAACTCCAGCTCTGAGGGATCCAACAGCATCTTCTGGCCTCTGTGGGCATTTCATCTTCACTGAGCATAGACATGCATGCTAGTCAAACTTCTATTCACACATATATTAAGGAAAATTTGATAACTGCTTCTAGATATTTTTGGAACTACTTTTGCAGTACCTCAAACCTATCACTGAAAATTATTTTGCCTTAACTACTAGTAAAAATCAGATCACTGGTCTTGAAGTGGCAGGTATTGTTTCAAGTCTGATACAAGTATATCTTTGCAAATTTTTAAAATTTGCATTAACTTTAAGACTACTTCTTACAATTCATCCAATTCTAAATAATTGAGTTTTTTTCCGAGACAGGGTTTCTCTGTGGCTTTGGAGGCTGTCCTGGAACTTTCTCTTGTAGACCAGGCTGGTCTTGAACTCACAGAGATCTGCCTGCCTCTGCCTACCCAGTGCTGGGATTAAAAGTGTGGGCCACCACTGCCTGGCTGATTTATTCCATTTTTATTCTCTGTGTATAAATGTTTTGCTTTTGGTCATAGTTTTTATTAAAGCAATAAAAAGTAAACTGGAGCACTACCATAAGCTACATATTGAAAATTCTACATAATCTCTCTCAAAAAAAAAGGATTGCCCAATATTATCCAAATATAGTCACTTAATGCCATATTACCCCAACTATACTACAAAAAGTAATGTAGCAGTTATGAGAGGCACTAGGCATAAAACATGCTAACACCTTTGCTGAAAAACAAAAAGAAAGTTTTTAAGAAAACACTAGTGAAAGAAAGTAATGGTGCACTTTTTTTCATTTGTTTCGTTTGAGACAGTGTTTCTCTGTCCTGGCTGTCCTGGAACTCGCTCTGTAGACCAGGCTGGCCTTGACCTCACAGTGATCCACCTGCCTCTGCCTCCCAAGTGCTGGGATTAAAGGCAAATGGTGTACACCTTTAATCTCAGCTCTCAGGAGGCAGAAGCAGGTGGATTACTGTGAGGTCAAGACCAGCCTGGTCTACAGAATGAGCTTCAGGGCAGCCAAGGCTAAACACACATACACACAGGAAGGAAGGAAGGAAGGAAGGAAGGAAGGAAGGAAGGAAGGAAGGAAGGAAGGAAGGAAGGAAGGAAGGAAGGAAGGAAGGAAGGAAGGAAGGAAGGAAGGAAGGAGAGAAAGAAAGGGCAAACACCTCAAAGATCAATACACCTAGGTACACACAGACCATTTGGACTGGATTTCACAGACCTGGATTGCAGCCTGGAGAAGAATGTTGACTTGCTGTTGGTTGATGTAAATTAACAAAATACCTGTTACATATTTTTTGAGACAAGGTTTATATAGTCTTGGAACTCTCTCCAGGCTGGCTTCAGACTCAGAGACCAGCCTCCCTCTGCCTCCCCAGTACTGTGATTAAAGGTGTGCACCACTACACCTGGCTTTCTGTTAGAGATTTACATCATTTTACCCCTGCTCTTTTCTCTCCAGATTCTCTCATACACCCATCCTTGATCTTTCAAATTCATGGTCTTTTTCATTAGCTGTCCTACATGCAAATATGTACATACCTAACTAACCGCTCAGTCTGTTTTTCCTCTTCCTCCTAAGCCCACAACTGTGAAACTATCAAATAAAAAAATAAACGAGGCCGGGCAGTGGTGGCACACGCCTTTAATCCCAGCACTCGGGAGGCAGAGGCAGGCGGATCTCTATGAGTTCAAGGCCAAGCCTGGTCTCCTGAGCAAGGTCCAGGACAGGCTCCAAAACAATACAGAGAAACCCTGCCTCAAAAGACCAAAAATAAATAAATAAATAAATAAATAAATAAATAAATAAAATAAAATAAAAAATAAACGATGCTCCCCTTTGAGAGAAGTTAGGTTGCTTTCTTCTAGTCAAACTCACAAGTGTTTTTCTACTGTGAAACCGATCTAATTTCTGTTCAGCAGTTGTCAGTGTGAGATGAACGAAATTAGCTCCAAAGGATGTTCCAAATTCAACCATTTTCCGAAATTTCTCCCATTCCACTCTGATCCAAGACATGATGCCCCTCTTCTAGCTTAAGGCAATGGAGTCCTTCCTTGTAAGATGCAGGCTGCTTAAGAGCAATATGAAGAGGGAATGATTCAGGAAGGAGGCTGCCAACTGTATGATCATGGAGATTCATGGAGTCAGGAACCCTTGCCATTCATGGATCCCAAGATTCACATTCCAAGCCCACCCCCAAACAGCTGGCAGTCAGGGATAATTGGGGCAGCTCATTTTTAACCAAGCTCGGTGAGCTGACAGCAAACACATCTCCCATCTGGACCCTTCATCCACTCTTCTCTACTGGTTTGCAATTTAAGGACAGAGACTCCTAAGCCTCCTGAGGTTGGTGTGCAGAACCCATGTTTCTGACTGAGGCACATAGAGAGTAGCCTACCAGGCTTTCCATCTTTAAAAGGCTGTTTGTATCTTGTTCCCTAGCCCCTTCTTTGGGCTAGGCTTCCTAGGAGACAATACAGTCTGCTCAGACCTACGAACACAGCTTGCAGAGATACTGGGTTGGTAAGTTTATCCAAAGGAAATAAAGTAGCATCAAAAGCCTTTCACAGAAGCTAACTTATTTATTGGATGTTTGCCATCACAGCCCTGTCTTATGCTTAGAAGATTTCTCTCAGACATATGTACAAGAATGACAGGATGGCTAGTACACCAATTCCAGTCCCTTCAGTAACCTCCATGCTTTTACCAAACATTGGTGAAAATTCTCCCATTCTGGTTTCCAAGGGAAAACAGTCTTTTTTTTCTCCCCGAGACAGAGTTTCTCTGTGGCTTTGGAGCCTGTCCTGGAACTCACTCTGTAGATCAGGTTGGTCTTGAACTCACAGAGATCTGCCCGCCTCTGCCTCCTGAGTGCTGGGACTAAAGGCATGTGCCACCAACGCCTGGCTGGGAAAGCAGTCTTAAGTGGTCCCTCTCATCCTGGTAGGTCGAGATAGGCCCCAGCTATATGACCTCACCCTGAAAGAGGCATCCAAGTCCTCCCTGGTCAGACGTTGGTTCCGGACACGCTGCAACATCTCTTGGCCTGGGGAAGGAATGTGCACCAATGGTGAATTGAGGCTCAGGACAGGAACCAAGACTTCCTTAGGGACGTGAGAGGGAAAGACATCAGCCAAGCCCAGGCCTTCCCAGGTGATCTGTTCATACCTCCCCATGATCTTGGGGGGACTCCGTGCAATAAAAATGGCTCTAACCTAAAACTGTTTCTCCTAGAATGGCTTTTGAGGGCATCTGGAGGACAATATTCCTGGGAAGCTCTTATGAGAATCCATGGTGCTATACAACTATTTATTTGACAGGCAATCAACCACTCAACCCCAACTCTGTTGAGGTCACCTACCTCGGGCCTGGTGGTTAGGTTCCTGGCTACCGACACTCCAAATCATATCCATCAACCACTGCTTTGCTCTTAACGGTCCCACGACAGTTACTCGAGTCTGACCTGATGCCGTAAACCACTCCTCCAGCTGAATGAAGGTGTTACTGTGTACCTCTATCTGTCTGAGGTGTAAGTCTCGATGGCCTGTGCATGGAAGAGATGACCATATATATATATATATATATATATATATATATATATATATATATATATATATTTGTTGTATGCACATGAGTCCCTGAGGAGGGTGATGCTAGGCAGCAGTCACCTCCAAGATTAAGACCAGGTTGGTGTGAAGCTGTAAAGACAATGGATGCTAAAGAAGAGACAAAACAGGGTGTACCAGCCATTTGGGGTGTACTCCTTTAATCCCAGCATTCAGTGAGCAGAGACAGGCAGTTCCTTGTGAGTTCAAGACCAGCCTTGTCTACATATCTAGTTCTAGGCCATCCAGAACTACAAAGAGAGGCATTATCTCAAAAACCCAAAAGCAAAAAAATGTTTAAGGACAGGTGCAGTTACATATTCCATCCTGCAGGAAAGCCTCTAAAGACGGAAGTACACGGCTTCCGAAGTCCCTCAAAACTGACCATATTCACTAAGCTCTGACTTCCCCAAGTGTATTTAAGCAAGCTGCATGATGGCAGCACATACCTTTAATCCTAGCATTCCTGAGGCAGAGGCAGGCAGATGAGATATCTTGGTCTACAGAATTCCAGGACAGCCAAGGCTGCTCACAGAAACACTATCTAAAAAAAAAAAAAAAAGCACAAAAGACTGCCAATAGTCACTCTCAGGAAGACTGGGCTGCTGGGAAACCCAACCCAAGCAGCCTGGAAGAAGCAGAGACCAACCAAGGTGCCTGGAAGAGGTTCAGACCAGCTGAGCCACTGGGAAAACTATCCGCCAACATGTTGAGCAGCATGCTCTCTGGGTTTCCCAGTTTTTGTGACCTGTCACCCAGGCTGAGGTGGGTTTTAGTGATGCAGCTGTCTTTGAGTCATTCTGCTCCTATGGGTAACCCCTCACTCCTATTCCTAAGTAACCCAATAAGTCACATTGTTTCACCAAGTTCTACTTATGGTTTCCTTATATTGCTGTTATTGGTTCCCTCTCTGGGGTGAATAGACATTTGCTCATGTCTCCCCAGGAGTAGTGTCACACAACTGGGAATCTGAGACAGACAGGAAAAAAAAAGACTGGAAAAACATGAAACAGAAAGAGAAAAATATGCCGGGCGTTGGTGGCGCACGCCTTTAATCCCAGCACTTGGGAGGCAGAGGCAGGCGGATCTCTGTGAGTTCGAGGCCAGCCTGGTTTACAAGAGCTAGTTCCAGGACAGCCTCCAAAGCCACAGAGAAACCCTGTCTCGAAAAACCAAAAAAAAAAGAAAAAAGAGAAAAATATAAGAAAGGCCACCTACCAAATATGAGCTCCTCCTGGCCCTCATCTATGAATACCACAAAGGGGGCCTCAAAGTTTTCAGGCAACGTCCACCAGGCATTCTCATCGACACCATTCATTTCCATTTTAAGTGCTCCTCCAACTTCAGGACATGGCAAGTCCAAGTAACTGACTATACAATGAAATTGAGCAGAAGGCCCAGGTTCTGGCTTATATACTCAACTCAAAAAACCCAGCCATTGACCCACCTTAGCACAAGGGATCCACCCATAAGTTTCTATGAATTCAACCAGTCAGCTATTGGTTTAACCTTTTACAACAATTAGATCATCTTCAGTGGCCAGGAAGTCAAATCTTCTTCTAGGTAATATCAAAGATGCTTGAGGAACTCTCCTGAGCATGGACTAGAAAAATGGATGAGGGATGAAAGTGTGGGAACAGGAAGGTCCTGGGTGGGTCCAACATGTGTTTGTTTGTTATATTGCTTTGTTTTGAGACAAAGTCTCTCTACGTAGCTCTTGACTGTCCTAGCATTTACTGTGTAGTAGACTGGCCTCAAACTCAGAGATCCACCCACCTCTTCCTCCAAAGTGATGGGATTAAAGGCGTGTGCCACCTTTGCTGCCTATCTTATGAGATCAGTGTTTGTGGGCAAGTCTAGTTTACATCCCTAGCTCCAATAGCATGGTGGCATTTATTATTTGTTTGATAATTTCACTTTTATTAGGTAGAGAAAAAGCAAGTTGAATTGGTTATTTAGGCATATGCATGTATATATACATATATGCATGTAAAGACAGCTGATGAAAAAGACCATGAATCTGGAAGAGATCAAGGAAGGTTATATGAGAGGGTTGAGAGTCAAAAAAGGGAAGGGGTAAAATGGTGTAGTTATATTATACTCTTAAAAAGAAGAGACATAAATCCAGGAAAGGGAGAACATGCCTTTAATCCTAGCACTGTGGGGGCAGAGCAGGCAGATCTCTGAGTTTGAGTCCAGCCCAGAGACTTCCAAGATGCAGGAAAGGTATTTTCTCCTTCAGTCAAGTTTCATACGAACCATTAGCAGATCAATATTCTTCTCCTCTCTGGGCTTCAATGCAGGTCTCAAAATTCCAGTCCGAATTTTGTGTTCCATGATCATCTAGGTGCACGAAAGTTTGAAGCAATGTTTCAAAGATGGCCTGCTCATACTGCAGCTTCCTGTGATGTTTGGTCATCTGTGGCAAGTTACTGTTTTCTCAGTGCTCAGATTTTTGAAGCACAGTTTGGCAATGATAACACCTTGGCCATGATAACTTCTTTTTCTTTCTCTCTAACTATCTTTGTTGTTTGTTTGGTTGGTTGGTTTGGTTTGGTTCATTTAAGACAGGATCTGTGTAGCTCTGGATGTCCTGGAACTGGTTCTGCCTGCTGAGTGCTAGGATTAAAGGTGTGCTCCCCCACCCAGCTTTTGAAGAAATATTTGTGTTTGATAGAAAACATTAAACTACCTGTCTCGGTCATTTTGCCTAACAACTGCAAGCTCTTGGGGAATATGTTGTTATTGTTCACTTCTTACTTTCCTTTCATTTTCATTTTTCTTCAGAGACAAGGTTGGATTACAGAAGCTGTCTCTGAGGAGCAAGCAGCCACACCTTACAGCCTATCACTTAAATTCCTAAACCCCCAGCATGAACAGTCCCAAGGTAGGGTGGGGCAATAGGAGTAATGACTTAGATTATTGCTTTATATCCTATCTAGTAAGGTCACTAGTCTACTGAAGACTAAGACCGCTTGCCTCCACACGAAGAGGCCCTGCTAATCTCAGAGATAAACACCCTCTAAAATCTCTAAATGTAAATAATGTCCTTTGTTTCATGGGATGCCATTAGATGTCCCATCCCAGTTCCCTAGTTTCACCTGTTTTGAGTGACCCTCAATGTTGAAGGACCTCAATGTTTATCACTGAGAACAACACCAGGGAGTTGTCCTTTAAGCCACACACACACAATAAATACAAATATAATTTTTCTTTTTTAGTATTCATCTTGAATGGACATGGTAGAGCATGCCTTTGATCCCAGCACTTAGGAGACTCAATACACAGGTGCATCTCTGTTAGTTCAAGACCAGCCTGGTCCACATAATTGGTTTCAGGACAGCTAGAGCTGTGTAATAGAGACCCTTTCTAAAGCAAACAAACAGCAACAGCAAAACTACCTGCCCTCCTCTGCAGTTTGTAGAGTTCCGATATATGCCACTGTGGTTCCTCAGAGAACACCTGCTACAGAACCATTCAGTTAGTGTCTAGCAGGCATTTTATGCACACTGAACTATCAAATCATAGGTTGGGAAATTTTCCACTGAATACCATGACATGGTCAAATACAATACTGCTCGTAATTAGAAAAAATGTATTCTTTTATTAATAAACTTTAAGAACAAAGACATTTGAAAACCAAGCCCCTATATCATGTCCCCAAATCCAAGAGAATCTGTTCTAGAGAGCTCTTGCCTTTTCTTCTAGAACTGTCCCCAAACTGTCCTGATGGGCCTATAATGTCATAGAGGCAGCCATAAGTAATAAAATAAACATTGTATAAGACCAGTTGTTGTGCAGTCTTTTTTTTTTTTTGGTTTTATGAGACAGGGTTTCTCTGTATTGTTTTGGAGGCTGTCGGTCCAGCCTGGCCTCGAACTCACATATTTTGACTTGTTGAGACAAAATTTGGCTATGTCTGGTCCAGAAATAAAGGTCCAGGATGGGCAGTGGTGGCACATTCCTTTAATCCCAGCACTCAGGAGGCAGAGGCAGGCAGATCTCATGAGCAAGGTCCAGCCAGGGCTACATAGTGAATTCCAGGACAGCCAGGGCTACACATTGAGATCCTGTCTCGTAAAAAACCAAATTTCTGCCTTTTATCCTATATGGTTCCCTCACTAATCTGATAACTCTTTCCCTCTAAGCCCAGAGACCACTACCCTCTGTGCAAGTCAGGAACTTTGTGAGGTTTGTGTTGGGTCTTCTCCCTAGTGCAGCCTCTGTAGCTCCAAGTGCCTGGCAACAGGAAAGGACCTGGTCACCTGAGATGCACCTCAGCACATGTCACTAAGGAGCCTGGAAAGGGTCCTGTGTAAAGCACACATCACTGTCACAGTCCATTGATCACCAAGTGACTCACAGATGGACACTCACAGGAGTGCACAGTCAGGGTCTAAGAGAGGAGACCTTCTTTTCTCTTTTTCTTTTCTTTTTTCTTTCTTTTTTTTGTTGTTTTAAGACAGGGTTTCTTTGTGAAGCTTTGGAACCTATCCTAGCTCTTTAGACCAGGCTGGCCTCGAACTCACAGAGATCCACCTGCCTCTGCCTCCCTAGTGCTGAGATTAAAGGGTAAGGCACCAACGCCTGGTCTAAGAGACCTTCTTATGCAAAATGAGATAATGAAGCGTTTAAAGAGACGATGACTGCACACAATATGATGCAATGCTTAATTATGACACTGCTTTTCTTTCGCTTGGGTCTCATGTGTTTCATTGCTGGCCTATGTAGTCTCAAACTTACAGAGATCCCCAGCCAGCCGGGCAGTGGAGGCGCACGCCTTTAATCCCAGCACTCAGGAGGCAGAGGCAGGTGGATCTCTGTGAGTTAAGGCCAGCCTGGTCTACAGAGCAAGTCCTGGATAACCTCCAAGGCAATACAGAGAAATACAGAGAAACCCTGTCTTGAAAAACCAAAAAGAAATAAGAGAGAGAGATTCCCCAGCCTTTGCCTCCCCAGTGCTAGGATTAGAGACATGGGCTACCAGGCCCTGTCACAAACACTTATTCTTAATACTAGTAATAAACTAAGAGATCAGAGCCTAAATTGCAAAGCCAAAGCCTGGAATCATGTCTCCAAATGCAACTTTAATAGAACAAATATTAACAGGTTAATCATCAGAAAACTACAAGTTTCGGAGAGAATTCCTATAAGTTGCTTTATAAAGCACTTAAATGAACAGATATTAAATCCATGTTAGTTAAATCATGTGGTAAGTGAAAACAACCCACGAATCAGTTTGATTTGAAATAATAGGCATGGTAAGTCATATTGGTGCAAACCTGGCATCCCAACACTGGAGGATGGGAAGGTTACATAGTACACACTCTCAAACACACACACACACACACAACACTGGAGGATGGGAAGGTTACATAGTACACACTCTCAAACACACACATACACTCACACACACACACAACACTGGAGGATGGGAAGGTTACATAGTACACACTCTCTCTCTCTCACACACACACACACACACACACACACACGACACTGGAGGATGGGAAGGTTACATAGTACACTCTCTCACACACACACACACACACACACACAACACTGGAGGATGGGATGGCTATATAGTACACACTCTCAAACACACACACACAGGATTTGTCAACAGAATGGAGAAAATTAAGAACAAGAAAGATAACTAGGATGAGAAAGGAAGGTCAACAGAAGAGGGTAAGTGGAGACATAAATTACATTGTGATATATATGCGTGTGTTTGTGTGTGTCTGTGTGTCCATGTGTTCTTGAAATCGACTCTTTTGTACAAGGATTGGCCATTGAGAAAAGCCTTATTTATTTTAATACTCTCATTTATTCTTTGAGAACTGCACACACACACATGTATTTTGACCACACCACATAAAGTTAAATAAATTATTTTTAAAAAAAGAGGAGGGAAGGGGGTGAATGTGTACCCATTGCTCCAGAGACAGAGCCAAGATGGTCATGTAATACCTTCAGCTTAGACTAAATTATGATATGAGACTCAGCCTGGGTGACATAAGCAAGACCCTGTGTCAAAACTAGATTTAAAAAAAAAACAGTAGCTGGAAACTGTGTTCCTTTAGATACCTAGAGTAACAAATACTGCTAAAGGTGAAAAGACTTCTGAACCCATCTTGAAACTTTGGGCCTCTAGAGGGCAGCAAAGGACACGAAGAAATGCAGCACAGTCAATGGGTCTAGATAGAAAAACATCTTGTTTGGTCTCTTGACTGAAGTACCTACTCAGGGTCATCAGCTCCCTTAACTGAAAATTTGGGGTTTGTGGACTTCTAAATACCACTATATTCTGGGTTGTTTTCAAAC